ATGATGAGAAGATGGAATCATAATGTCATATTATTTCGGGGCATTTCCCGTTTCTTATCAGCACTGTGCAGCACTCTGCACTGAACGTGTTTAGTGCTGTATAAAAGACTTGTTATATGTTTTGCGCGGCACTTCCAACTATTACCATCAGCCTTAGGGGCGGATCTAGGGGGAGGGCGCAGGGGGTGCGCACCCCCCCTGAGATGACCGGTTTTCTAATACAACTGGTATTCTGCGAAAAAAAAAAACTATGTGGTTTATTGGTGTTGAAGTAGAGCAAGAGACGATCAGTGCACCCTCTCCTAAAAAAAATCCTGGATCCGCCCCTGAGCCTGTACTGACATCCGTTTGACGCTTAGTTGAAAATTTTTCCCACCACCTCCCCAGTCTCCGTCCTGCCACCGTCTACATCTTCTTATAGTTTTATCTTCTTTAGTTTGTCATAAGTATTTGCTCATTTGTGGCGGATTTTTGTCCCCACCTTTCCTGAAGAGATGTTAATTAGTTAATTTTATCATTGGTTTCAATTAAAAACGTCACGCTTGTGGCCATTTATCCCAAACGGTTGAGATTCTTGCTCGGGTCATCTCTTCAGCAAACCAGTGCGCCACCATGCGGAGCTCTCGATCATTTTTGTAAATTCGGTTTGGGAAGACTCGCAATAAATGAAACTTATGATCAGATGAAATTAATTTTAAAAGACAGTAGGAAACAGGCCACGATAAAGTAATTTAAAGGCCAGGCCTGCAGATTTTAAGGTTACTAAAGACGGTTTGATAGGTCGTTATGATCATTACCATTTTAAATACGGGGAACGGAGAGGAGGATACGCGTCGACCAGCGGGAGGTGGGAGGGTATGTTGGGAGTTGCTGCGTCCGTGTTGGCAGTGGTGTGCAAATAGATGCAACAACTCCAAGCAATGTTGCGACCTGCAGTGCATCGTGGGAAGGGTATGACCTATAACTTTGGAGACAATGTGTAATGCGAGTGCGTGGCTTCCACAATGTTGGAAGAGCTGCGCAAACGGATCCAAAATTGTTGCGCTACGCTTCGACGATCACGAAGCGAAAGAAATGTTGGGAGATGTTGGCTCAAAGTTTGACCGGTTTCAAACTTTGCGCACACGCAACATGCAACAAGGAGTACAAACGGACGCAACATGTATCATCTAACAATGTTGGGAGTTGTTGGCCAGGAAAGTTGTGTCCTTTTGCACGCGGCTTTACTTGGCAAAAAAGAAGGAAAAAAAGGGTAACTAGCTTACATAGGCAAGGAGACTCGCCCAAAACTTCCAGCCGATTGTCTGTAATCCCCTGGGGTGCAAAGAGGATACTAGCATAGCGCGCAGGCAAAAAACAAAAAAACACGTGAAAATATTACCTTATGGTACACTCACTTGGTAGGTAAAAGTAGTCACAGACTACTCTCACTTAAGCCCCGTGCAAACCGGACGCAACGTTGTTTGCCAACAACTCCCAACATTGTATAATTTGATTCATTTAATTAATGTTTATTCTTAAGTAACATTGTAAAACTTGTCTTTAAGTCAATAAAAACTGTAAAAAAAAACAACAACAACAACTCCCAACATTGAAAGAATGAAAGATGGTAAATTTTAAGCTCGGTGAAACAAATGTGAAAATGAATTAATCAGCATGTTACGAGCGTGGGACAAAGAAAAAATCTGAGCCCCCGACGGGATTTGAACCTCAAACTCCGGGGGGAGGTCGCTCTATCCACCTGAGCGACGGAGAACTCATGGAGAGCGACGCCATATACTAGGTTCATATTTGACACGCGTTCCGCATACTGCAAGGATCAGCAAGGTCGATGTCGTACTGTGTGGTGACGACGCGCGGATCAACGCCCTTGTACCGTTTGCGACGTCATCAATTTTAGCGCTCAAAGACAACTTTGTCATCTAACTTTTGTAGGAGCAAGAAATCTTTCAAACCATACCAAGGCTTCAAGTAGACCTCTTTTTGCAAATTTGAAAATTCTTGATGTTTTTAGTATCTGCTCTGTCCAAGTAAGTTCTTTCATGTACCTATATCATAATGATGCTTTACCTATTCTTGAACTAAAATCTTTCATACTGGAAATCAGATTCATCAATATTCAACCAGATACTCTGACTTTTACTGACCTCAAACCTGTAGAACAAATACAAAAAAAATTTCGATCCTGTTTTAAGGTCCTAAAATATGGAATTCATTACCGTACAACATCAAAAACGACCCAGCTTTTAATATATTCAAGCGTGTGATCAAACCATTTTAAAGGGTCATTTTTATCCTATTTATTATCTCTTTTTATTTTACTTGTAATTTATTCTGTGTGGCAAAATAATAAAATAAAAATAAAATGAAATGGCAGAACGATTATTAAGGCAAGGAGGCCGGATAAAAAGACAAAAAATATGTAACGTTGAGCCGCAAATGGTGATGAAAATCCTCCACTAACCACCTGCAATTCTTCCTTCTAATCCCGTAAGTCTTGAGTTCCCCAAAACGTTTCCCACACAAATGAGGCCCAGTAAATTCCCCGAACCAAAAAATGGGACAAGAATAAAGAAAAAGAAAAGGAGGAGGGATTCAAACAAAACTGGCAAAAATGCCACGACTTTTTATCCCAAAATATCGAAAATTTACTTTCTGCAAACACCCGTGCTTTCGAAACAGATATTTTGCATCTGGAATACAAGGCGTAAAGTGCTCGACCTGTAAACGACGTTCCTGGCAGTTTTGGCTCTTTATAGGCAGATAGTGAGCAGAAAACGGCTCTTCTAGCCTCAAAACGCCTATATTCCAAAAAAGCTGAGCTGGATTTGAAAATCTGAGCGCTCGAATTCTTAGTCTTGTATCTAATTGGCAGTGTGTAAAACGACGGTTATTAAAATAACGCCATTCCTGAATGCTTTAGTCGACATTGCTACGTTCATCGATGGGCCGATAAAAACTCGCGTTACTTGCATAAGGAATCACCGTTCAAAGCCTATACATTCTTTAATTTTCCTCTCCCTTTGCTGATTGCTTAACCTGTGTTCATTATAATACATTACGTTGAGAGTAGATAGAAATACAAGCTATGCCACAGATTCGTTTTTGTAGGATTTTCGTTTAAAAAAAGTACACAACCTCTAAGTGTTCCAAGCACATCTTTATTACAACTAATCGCCGCGATAATAAAGCACATTTGTTTTCTAAAATTTCACTATATCAACCAAAATATTGACGTTATTTTATCAGTCCCTTCCTATAAAAACCGATAGACAGTACTACGCTTAAAAAGTTGCCGTTATTACTAAGATTAGCAGTTGAAATGTTTTAGTTCTTCACTACACAAAATATCTACTATGCTTGGACCTGACCTTATAGGCTCCTGCTCTATACCCACTTGTACAGGGCGCTGTTTTTGTTAATATGGTTTACCACTGCCAGGTAAGTATGACCTTTGTACTCAAATGACGTCATACCACGCGCTCCATGCGTTGGAATCTCTTGGTATTTGATGAACCGCGCTCCAGAGGCCCGGTACACAACTGACTTGGCGTTGTTCTTCTGACTATCACCGTAGTAATTAGTCACACCAAGGTAGGTTCGACCATTGATCACAAATGGATACCAGCCTGTAGCGCCTCGAGTAGGAATGGACTGGAACAGGACGAACTTGTTACCATTCCACTTGTAAATAAAGGAATCGGTGTTGTGCTTACTTCCAGAGTAGAAGTTGGCAAAAGCGAGAAACTTGTGACCGTTGATGTTAAAAGACCTCACATCGTACGTTCCGTAAGTCTGTAGAGACTGGAGTTTAACAAAGCGACCTCCTGACCATTTGAACACAGTAGACTCAACAGAATGCTTGTTTTGGGAGCTGTAATGATTTGCAAAAGCAATGAATGTGTCACCGTTTATCTCAAACGCCGTACATCCCCTGGCACCTTCAGTTGATATGTCTTGAAATCTGTTAAACTTGCCGCTGCTCCATTTATAGATAACTGACTTTGTAGAGTGGGTACCTCCATCACGGAAGCTGGCTACTAAAAGATAATGTTCCCCATTTACATTAAAAAAGGTGATGTGGATTGCTCCGTTTGTTGATAATTTCTGAAAGTCGACAAACAGCTTTCCATTCCATTGGTAGACTGTAGAGTCCACCCGGTATGTTCCATCGTAATGATTAGCGACAGCAAGGAAATGTTTGTCAGCGATAGAAAAGTACTCCAGGCCATGCGCTCCTCTTGTCTGCAGGGTCTGGTACAAAGAAAGTCTTCCAGTTGAGTTGTCCATCTTGTAGATCATGGAACCTGTCTTGTGTTTTTTAATGCCCCCATAATAATTGGCGAAAGCAAGAAACAAACTTCCATCAATGGTGAAATGTTCCACATCTACTGCTCCTCGGGTTGGTAAGTCTTGAACTTTCTCAAAGAAGTGGAATCCAATAGAGCAATCTTCCACAAGAAAAAAAATATTAATTAAAATCGTTCTTATTAAGAAATCACAAGCAAAACAACTAAAATAAGCAAGCACCCGAAATCTGCTTTTATTTTACATCTTCTCACTTCTTTACTCTTCTTTAATTAGCTTCTACAGCTATAACAGCTTGCTCCTACGGATCACTAATAACTCCTACTCCTACTCCTACTCCTACTACCAACAATCCAAATAGTAGAGCCTTTTATTGCTAAACCTGGTGATGTTTGGGTTTGCTGACCGTGAGAATAAAAGAAGGCTGGCAAACTCAGTGTAGGTAATGTTTTGCTATCTCTGGACCTAAACGGCTGCGATCGGCAAGAAGCAACAACCCAATGAAAAACTAACAACGTTGGTTAACGAACCCAAACAGAAACTAATTCAACAAGACTTAATACCTAATACCCTAGGTCAGCTCTGAACTCATAAACACAACTTCCAGAATAAAACTCACTTCCGAATAGGCCAAATCAAAAATATTTCAGAAATGGAAGTAAGTGAATTTGAAAGCCAAGCAAATTTCAAGTACGAGTGAAAACTTAAAATTAAAACAGGAAAACACCAAGAGAACAAATCCTAACTAACCCTGACCCACCCAATGAAACAAAAGCGCAACTTTAAGGATAAGTCAAAATACTTCACAACAGAAAAAAAAGACAACAAAGGAAGGTTTCTTAATATGTGCTCTACTCTTGAAGTTCACTGTAGAGAAGTCACGTTTTTATAAAATTAAAATTCGGAAACTTTTCTAATTCCAATGAATCAATGTATATCATAGACGACAGTAATAAATGATAAAATGTTCTTACCGGTTAAACAGCACCTTGATTTGCTGGAAGATAGGCTCTAAAACACAAAATAACGACGACAAAATACAATTTAATTACAAAACTAACAATCTGCTGATGTAGTTATTGATGAAACACTCCCTATTCAGTCATTGTTTTTTTTAAATAGCATCTCCCAAAATCGGACACCAAGTATCTCCAAGTAAGTATCACCAAGTGTTGGTCCCTGACGTAGTTCAGTCATTTTCCTAAAAGTACACTTAATAAACACGGACACCTCTCAGAAATGGACACCGAATATTTCCAAAACGAAATATAGGGCGGGAATACAGCCGTTCAAAATGACAGTAATGATGATCTGGGAAGCTTCATATTATCATATTTTAAAATTCAATTCTACTATTGCCTAAAGGAATGGCAATTAAATTAATTTGGCTTATTGTAATAAGGTTTACTATTACAAAAGATAATAAAGAGTGTAAATCTTGTAATCTTTTAACGCAGTAATTCCATTGACACCACGAGATCCTTTTTCACCCCCTGTCAAAAAAAGCCCAAATATCTTGAGGAGAATACCTTAGTATCACATGTTCCCGGCATTCCCCTTAGTCCCTGTTTGCCCTTTTGTCCTTGTGGTGCATCCTTTCCTTGTGATCCTTTATCACCTTGCGATCCTTTCTCACCCTTTTTTTAAAAAAGATATAATTTGGGACATGGAAAACCCCAACATGGGGCATCCGCATTAGTACAAATCAAAAATTATCCTACAGTTTGGATTTCTTTACAGGATAAAATGATTCCAGCCCAAGTCATTGAACATGATCTGAAATTATAGCAATTTTTTTTTTTAATTGATGCAATGGTTAGCTGGGTTGTAAAAAAGTTCAAATAACTTCATATTTAAAATTGTAATGTATTGAATTTCCGGGAATGGAAAGCAATATCCCAGTCAATCCTGACTTGATACAGATACACTGGTCAAAGTTACATCTTATACATCTTTAGGCTCCGTCACACTAGTCACAACTTGAAAACAACAACTCTTCAAATCCACTTGGCGTTCAGTAAATAAGTCAAACGTTATGTTGTTATCGTAAATTTAAAAATATGGAGCTACACTTTGGGAGTAAAGATCAGCAGCCTTAGGCAGAAAATATCTTTGAATTCTTTGTTAATATGAAAACATCACTTCGTTATCCTTCGTTCATACGCGCACTGCCTCTTTTTGTTGGATTTCCCACGATAATAGACTGCGCAATCATTTATGCAAAATTTTACCGAGCTTATATTAACTTTTTAGAAGAAACTTAAAAGTTTTTAAAAAGTAGTACATTTCTAAACTAATACCTTATCACCAGCCTTTCCATTTTGTCCTGGTATCCCTGCCTCTCCTTTTTCTCCCTGGAAAAGAAAACATCAATCCCAAATCTAAGGATAGTGAAACGGCAAAATAAATATAGCGGTTTAGGGGAATCACTAAGAGGATTCTAGCTACAAGTATTGAGGGTGAATAAACCACTTCTAGTTCGAAAAACACAGAGCGCAAATAACGGGCAGAAGCTGCTGGTAGAGGAATGCGAATCGAAACAAGGGAAACAGTCATTAGGGCCAAAAAATAGCTTTGGAGGTTGAGCAACTGAAATAAAACGATTTGTGAGGCTGATTAAAAGTGCTGAATTAATTGTCGAATTAGCTGTAGATAGAGGTAAGTAATTGATATAAAAGACATCAAAAAATCACGATATTTGGCTAATTACTGCTTGAAATGAGACTCAAGACATTCTTGGTTAAGCTCCAAGTTAAAATTCGATAAGAATAACAAAACAACCAGGGATCGGATCAGCAAACGACGTGTTTGATTCTGTTTGGTCAAGTTTCTTGAGGGAAATGTTGAACTGCCATTATTTCCCAGAGACCCGACCAAAATAACCAAGCGGCAGAGATTTCCGACTTTTTTCTGAGAGGTTTATTGCCAAACTGATATTAAGTGACATGGATTATAGATATGATTCTTTTTACACAAGTTAAAGGGAAGGATGGGAGTTGCAATCGAGTAAAATTGTTTGGCTTGTGCCGCTAGCTCCCGAGAGCTCTAACCTGATATTTCTAGGCTATTTCTTTTGTCAATTGAGGAGCTCAGTGCAAGAACGACACCTTGATTTTTTTTGTCATTTTAGAAAGTGCTTCAAAGTTACTAAGTTTTTTGCATGTCACTTTTGTTATAACAGACTGACATGTCTCTGAAATTTTTTTCCTATTTTTTGCTTTATATTCCCCATCGCTACAAACTTAACTGACTTGTGTGTTTATGTTCAGTTCTCCTTTTTAATCCTTTTAATTTCCAATGAGACGGTGGTGCTGAATATGTACAACTTCATTATAGTCAAACCATTTAGTGTCATATGATTCCTTTTCTAGGGAGACACGTAACGTAAGAATTTATTTCTCCTTTTCCGGGCAACTGCTCTACTAATGGATTGGAATGTATGTATATCTTGAACACGTGAATCACAATTAATTTTTCCTCGAACACAACTCAACGTGAAATTATCCAATGCAACGTTTTATATAGGGGAAAATACATTATGAAGAATTTTATCAGTCTTGATGTCCCTTTTCAGATTCCCACGTTTAAATGATTACGCGAGTTGAAACAAGCTACAAATACACAGACGTTTTTATGCTGGCTGTCTCGGCCGTGTTTTGGTAAACAGACCTTAACAATTCCATTCCTAATGATAGCCTAATAGTGGCCAAGGGAAAACGACGAAAAAATACAAATGTATCTTTGCCAAATCTAAAGAAATAAATACTATTTTACAAAACGTTTGCCAAATGAAAGAGGTTTTATCAGAGATTTGAATTGCTAGTACACTATAGGATCTCTTGCTAAGAATTAAAAGTTAGATTGACAAATAAATCTTGTCATAATACAATGATAATATGATCTAGATGTGTAATTCAGTACAGAGAACGTTAACTCGCCTTTGCTCCAACAGTTCCATCACGTCCGTCGCGGCCATCTCTTCCTGAAGAATGCATTTCAACGCAGGAAAGGCATTAATCCACACACGACAATTTGGGTCGTTTGGTATCACTTGGTTTTGATGTTTATATTTATTTACATCACTGCTTTTATTTAGCACTTAAGCTATCGCGCGTATAAAATGAAGCTTTTATGAGCAGATCATTCAACAAAAACCTCAGAATATTCTTTAGAGCTTTCAGTTATGACAGTACAAGAAACCAAATAATTGTATGCACTTTTGCAAAAAACAAATTTTCATATTTTTATTACTATTGTGGAATTTGTAACTCGCTGTTCAATAGTAGTTTTATTTCTTCCCAAGTCAGTTTTGCACTCCACGAAAATTGAACACTGCAGTATCTTTTTTCCTTCAGTATTATCATAAACACGAATCTAGGGGTAACTTTTAGATATCTGAACCCAAACAATAGTGCGATGTCTTTGATTGTAACTTCTGTTTTGCAGTTTTTACTTTGCATTAAAATCGCGGATTTGTTAGTGTTCGGCCTGAAGGAATTGGCTCGTCGATAAATGTAAATACAATTTCCACCTCAAACTAGATCACCATTCATTCCATTTTTTCAATCTTTTCTGGCTCTAAGAACACTACGAAGTGGCTACTAAACATTACATTTGAGTCAGTGACGATTCATAACACTGGAGAACTTACCATCTCTTCCACATCCAAGCGGTGGAACAGTTTTACAATTGTTTTGGCTTCCGGCAGATTTGTTCGCCTGTTTGATTATAATCATTGAATAAAAGAAAGAAGGTTTAAGGCAACGTTGCTAAAAATTAGACAACTTTCAGTCCCAGACTACAGAAAATACGGTAAAGGGAATATACGGCGACAAGAGTACCGGCCAGATTTTCGAAAATAAAGTACCCTCGGCTTACATTTTTAGAAGATTTCCTTTCCGACGTTCCGAACGAACCGACCAAGAAAATGGTCAAAGGCAGCAGGAAGATCAATCGAAACATTTTCTACTATTTTTCAGTGGTTCAGCGGCTCAGACGTAAACTTAAGAAAGTGTCAAATGTATAAAGGCACAAGATTTTTGAAACAATGTTAGCATAATTAGGACATGAATAAACGCGATACCATTCTTTGTTCATTGGGTTTGGCGGACGAACTAAATTCATTAATAAACAGATCTTCCATTCACGCCAGGGTTCAAAATTAAAACTTTACTCTGAACAACCTCAAAAACCTGGTTCGCCTGCTATGTTATTGTGGGTTAAAATCTCTGCCCTTAATCCCCTTTAAATGTCTTATTATTTATCCTTGAGCAAATGGTTGGCCTCGCATTTACCATTTTTCAATCATATTTTTAAAAGGCACTCATGCAGGAAGTTTATATATACTATTGAAAGCATTTTGCATTTATGAACAAACAAGCGAACGCCTCGAACTCAGTCGCAGAGTCTGTGTCGAACTCGGACTGACTTGAAAATAAAAAAATAAATGGCAACCTAAAGAAACTAAAGTGCCTCTATGAATATTTCAGTCTAGTTGTCGGCAATTTGCAGCTCCTAAACAAATGAACTGTAATCCATGAAATTCTATTCAAATTTGCACTATTGCTTTGTTCACCTCGATCTGCTTTCAGAAACTTGGTGGAAATTCGATAACCTGTTTTTTGGACTTGAATGAATAATACTCGGAATTTGATTTAGTACACGGCTAAGCTGAAATGAGAAGTGCGGGCGTAAAAAGAATCCTAAACTCACGAATTTTTTGACCGGAAGTAAATTCGCTCGTTGCCATGTGAACGTCCTCCTTACTTTATATTCAGTTTCTCATTGTTTCTTGTTATGGCGTCTACACTGCATGCCGTTAACAGAAGAACAAACTGATATTTCGGTATGATAATTTTGAAGCATGCTGGATCATTATCGTACACCATTTCCACTGTCAGAACAACCACTTACTGCCATTGCGAAAAACAGTTATGGGAAACGAGATTTTGCAAAGGCAGAGGATCGTAAGACGGTGAAGGTAGAGGGGGATATGCGTCGACGAACGGGAGGTGGGAGGGTATGTTGGGAGTTGCTGCGTCCGTGTTGGCAGTGGTGTGCAAATAGATGCAACAACTCCAAGCAATGTTGGGACCTGCAGTGTATCGTGGGAAGGGTATGACCTATAAGACTTTAGGGACAATGTGTAATGCGAGTGCGTGGCTTCAACAATGTTGGAAAAGCTGCGCAAACGGATCCAAAATTGTTGCGCTACGCTTCGACGATCACGAAACAAAAGAAATGTAGGGAGTTGTTGGCTCAAAAGTTTGACCGGTTTCAAACTTTGCGCACGCGCAACAACATGCAACAAGGTGTACAAACGGACGCAACATGTATCATCTAACAATGTTGGGAGTTGCATGAGTTGTTGGCCAGGATAAGTTGTGTCCTTTTGCACGCGGTCTTACTTGGCAAAAAAGAAGGAAAACGCGGGATAACTGGCTTAAATAGGCAAGAACAATCCCCCGAGACTTCCAGTCGATTGACTGTAATGCCCTGGGGTGAAAAGAGGATACCAGCATAGCGCGCAGGCAAAAAACAAAAAAACAAGTGAAAATATTACCTTATGGTGCACTCACTTGCTAGGAAAAAGTAGTCATAGACTAGTTCTCACTTAACCTGTGCAAACGGACGCAATTGTTCGCCAACAACTTCCAACATTGAAAGAATGAAAGATGGTAAATTTTAAGCTCGGTGACGGGATTTGAATCTATGACCTCCCAAACACCGGGCGGGCGCTCTATCCACTTGAGCTACGGAGAACTCATGGAGAGCGACGCCATATACTAGGTTCATATTTGACACGCGTCCTGCATACTGCAAGGATCAGCAAGGTCGATGTAGTCCACGCCCTTAAACGGTTAACTTTGCGACGTCATCAATTTTAGCGCTCAAAGACAACTGTGTCATCTAACTTTTGTAGGAGCAAGAAATCTTTCAAACCATACCAAGGCTTCAAGTAGACCTCTTTTTGCAAATTTGAAAATTCTTGATGTTTTTAGTATCTACTCTGTCCAAGTAAGTTCTTTCATGTACCTATATCATAATGATGCTTTACCTATTTCTTTTACTCAAATCTTTCAAATTGGAAATCAGACTCATCAATATTCAACCAGATACTCTGACTTTTACCGACCTCAGACCTGTAGAACAAATATTAAAAAAATTTCGATTCGGTGTCAAGGTCCTAGAATATGGAATTCATTACCGAACAACATCAAAAACGCCCCGACTTTTAATATATTCAAGCGTGTGATCAAACCATTTTTAAGGGTCAGACAGGATGCAACTAAATACCTTAACACTTTATATCTATATTTTTCTCTAATCACACTTATATACACTAAACGCACTTATATACCTAAAATGCAGTCTTTTTTCTTTATTTTTAAATGTCGCCTAGTATTTAAATTGCCAGTGGCGGGAAATCTCTATTCGTAATAATCTCGTTGGCTTCTCGGAGATTTCCGCGCCACAGTCACTCCTTCCAAACTGCATGCTAATTTTAAATTTCATGTTTATTATCTTTTTTATTTTACTTGTAATTTATTCTGTGTGGCAAAATAATAAAATAAAAATATAATAAAATTCCAGAACAATTAAGTCAAGGAGGCCGGATAAAAAGAACAAAAATATGTAACATTGAGCCTAAAATGATAAAAATCCTCCACTAACCACCTGCACTTCCTTCCTTCTAATCCCGTTAAGTCTCGAGGCCCCAAAACGTTTCCTACGGACATCAGGCCAACTAAATTCCCAGGACCGAAAAACTGAACAAAGAAGAAGGACGGGAGGAGGGAAAGCGAAAGGTAAAAATGCCACGACTTTTTAACCCAAAATATCGACAGTTTCCCGTCCTTTCGTGCTTCCGAAGCCGATATATTGCATCTGGAATAGAAGGCGTAAAGTGCTCGACCTGTAGACGACGTTCCTGGCAGTTTTCGCTCTTTAAAGGCAGAGATAGTGAGCAGCAGACAACGGCTCGTCTAGCCTCAAAACGCCTATATTCCAGAAAAGCTGAGCTGGTTTTGAAAACTAATTTGATCGCTCGAATACTTCTTGTATCTAATTGGCAAAGTGTAAAACGACGGTTATTAAACTAACGCCATAACTGAATGCTTTAGTCGACATTGCTACGTTCATCGATCGGCCAATAAAAACTCGCGTTACTTGCATAAGGAATCACCGTTTAAAGCCTATGCATTCTTTAACTTTCCTTTCCGTTTGCTGATTGCTTAAGCTGTGCTCATTATGATACATAACGTTGAAACAGACAGAAATACAAGCTACGCAACAGATTCATTTTTGTAGCATTTTCGTTAAAAAAAAATACACAACCTCCTAGTGTTCCAAGCACATCTTTATTGCAACTAATCGCCGCGATAATAAAGCACATTTGTTTTCTAAAATTTCACGGTATCAACCAAAACATTCTGGTTATTGTATCTGTCCCTTCCTATAAAAACCCTTTCTCAACGAATAGACAGTATTACGCTTATAAAGTTCCCGTTATTACTAAGATTAGCAATTGGAATGTTTTAGTTCTTCGCTACACATTCCATTGATAGACTGTAGAGTCCACCCGGTATGTTCCGTCGTAATGGGTAGGGACAGCAAGAAAATGTTTATTCGCGATAGAAAAGTACTCCAGGCCATACGCTCCTCTTGTTTGCAGGTTCTGGTACAAAGACATTCTTCCAGTTGAGTTGTCCATCTTGTAGATCATGGAACTTGTTTTCCGTTTCCTAATGTCCCCATGATGATTGGCAAAAGCAAGAAACAAGTTTCCATCAATGGTGAAATGTTCCACACCTATAGCTCCTCGGGTTGGTAGGTCTTGAACTTTTTCAAAGAAGTGGAGTCCAATAGAGCAATCTTCCACAAGAAAAAAAGGATGAACACCTTTGTTAACAAACTAATGTCAAGGAAAAAAAAACTAGTTAGAATTAATCGACAAAAGAATTTACTCAAGTGTTGTGGTTTTGCAATGACCAAAGATGGGCCACGGTGTTATGAACTTAAAATTTGGAAACTCTTCTTTCCCGTGAATCAGTGTAAATGTACATCGTAGGCAACAGTAGTAAATAATGCGCTTACCAGTTAAACAGCACCCTGATTTGCTCTAAAACGCAAAATAAGTTGTAAGAACAAAATACAAATAAATAACAAAGCTAACAATCTCCTAATATACACTCCTGGACAAAAGTCCTAGTGCAGTGATGCAGTATTCATAATATTTCGTAATCTCTGGAAGCCCTTATAAAATACACGTTGGGCATCCTTCTCGATTTTTTTTTTGCAGTTCTTCCTCCCCCCACCCTATACAATGTCGAAACTCGGAAAAATTCGGGATACACGCCGACACGCGTCCAACGTTGTTTGTAGGGTGGGGGTAGGGGTTGGGCATGTGTGAATTGAAAATGCACAAATGCAAATATGTCCCTAGACTATTGTACATGATTGTACTTATATGTGCAAACAGAGTTGAACACCTGTACAGATAACTTTTTCTGACGAAAATCTCCCTTGATCGGACACCAACTGATGTAAAAAGGCTCCTGCTTTCAAGATGACATTGAGCTAATCTTACGTTAACATCATATATGGCAGACTGCGTGCATTACATGTATTTTGTTCCTCTTTCCTTAGAGTAGTAGGACATGCAAGCTAATTTTTATTTGATTTTTAGAAACCTCGATACTCACCGTCACGTGTCACAACTTAACCGCTTATTCACGTACACTTCTCCCTTTTAAAGACAACAGGCCCGAAAGGAAGAGATCGTGCATGCAGTTTATGGTAATTAAATTAATATGGCTTATTGTAATAAGGATAATTATCACTAAAGGTTATAAAGAGTGAAAATCTGGGAGCTGTAAGGTAGTACTTACCTTTGTATCACACGTTCCCGAAATTCCTTTTTGCCCTTGTGATCCCTTCTCTCCTTGGGATCCTTTGTCACCACGAGATCCCTTCTCACCCTTATTAAACAAAGTATTTATAATTATAATGAACATATATTAATATTCCAGTAGATAGCCAAAGATCTCGGGAATTTAAAAACCTGATCACCTTTTTATCCTTTACTGTAGCGATACAAGAAGAAAACTTAAAGTTACACGCAGTACTTGTTTTATACCAGAAACGAATCAGTAGAGAAATAAAATTCGACCAGATTAATTTGTTTGGTCGAGCGCCAGCTCGGACATAATAACTAACAGGTCGAATGTAACATTTAGAAGCGTGAGGGACATGAAAATTGAATGAGTAGTGTTTGTGGCTGTGTTGGATAAAGCATATGGCCTCGTTTTTGTTTTGGACACGGAAAATTAGTTGGCAGAAAAAAACAAACATAAATATTTGATTGAAGTAAATCCACTTTGGAGAACTGATTAAGGTTGTTAAGGTTGTCTTACAGGCAAAAAAAGGTCATGAAACTTACACTTACTTTAACACCACCATTACTGTTTTTATCCATTCCTGGTTCTCCTTTCTCCCCCTGCAACAGAAATAATAAGGAGCACTTGGCCTGATTACAAAGGACCTGGGAAAATACGTCCAAAGAATCCCTGGAAACATCAATATTGAGGACCTTCAGAAGATCAGCCACATTTTAAGAAAAGTGCTCTCTACCAAATAGATAATAACGACTTCCCCCTCCCCTCAGCCACTCCCAAGGAAACTGGTATCTTCTCGGAGCTCTGAGAAGTACGAACTGCTAAACAAGACATAGTAATAATCATCATCGTCATCATTATCAACATCATCATCATCATCATCATCATCAACTGTCAAAATGATTGAAACGCTTTCAATTCAAAGTATAAGGACTCAGAGATCAAAGTCTCAAGGATGGGCCTTAAAAAAGAAACTGTGCCTGCAGGTATTGGAGCTCTTGGCCTACCAAAAACGGGCCTGGGAAAATACGCGGATAAAATCCCTAGGAACATCAATATCAAAGAACTCCCAAAGATCAGTCTTCTAGGCACAGCCAATATTTTACAAAAGTGCTGTCTACCAATTAAATGAAGACTCCTCCCCCCCCCCACCAAAGCTCCTCCCAAGGAAACTGGGCACTTCTTGGAGCCCTGGACAGTACGAACTGAGAAAAAAGAAAAACATAATAATAAGAAGAAGAAGAAGAAGAAGAAGAACAATAAGTAATAAATTATTTTGAGACAGCTGGTACTGTTTGTAAAATAGTTCTTTTTTTCTTTTCTTTCTTTAAATTTGTGTGTCTCTTCCCCCGCCTCGATTAGGCTCTCCTATACGCGGGTGGAAGCTATCGTGTAACTGTAAATTGAAAGTGAATGAATAAAGTTGAAGTTGAAGTTGAAGTTGAAGCTAAGTAATTAAAGCTAACTGTGACAAAGGAGTGACAATGATGATGATGCAGATGGTAAATAACAAATAGAAACAATCTATACTGTGGTGTGATCAAAATAAAGCTGGTCTGTTTATAATTTTGATCATTTTGCTTAATCCAACCCAAATTTAAACACACAAAAGACATTACTACGCTCCATATGATCACCGATGTTTTATGGAGAGAACACATGTATGGATCCAGAAACTAAGAACCTCCATTTGAAAAGCAGTACATATTTATAATACCTTAACACCTGCACTTCCATCTCTTCCTGGTTTCCCTGTTTCTCCTTTTTCTCCCTACCATAGATATTTACAAGGTGAAACCCAAACAGAGACACTATAACTTAGAATATGACTATTACTATTAATTTTATTCATCTTTTATTTATCTTTTAAGAAACTTCAGCCATAGTTGAGAAAAATGATGGTGCATGGGTGCTGCAGGTATAGGGTAGCACATTACTTTTTGAATGTGGTAGGTGAAGAACTGCTTCATGGACTTGCTACCACTAAAAGTTGTTTATTTATTAACAGTAACGAAATGACTAAAAATTAAAAGTCAACACATAATAAATGCACTTTTTTTCACCTTTTGTTTAGTTTAAAAGTGACAAAAACAGCTCCAAGCCCATATTTAAATTAATATTAGTTCTGAGTTTGTCTATACACCTGCTTAGTGACTACGAGCATTGTATAACCATAGAATAGGGCAAGGAAGGTTACTCTATCTGAACTTGTACCTAATACTGTCTTAACCCATTCGCTCCTGGAGATTTTGCCGAAAAACGCGTTTTGAAGCTAGTCGAGTGGTTTTCTGGTCACTGTCGTGCTATAAAGAGCTAAAACTTACCACAAACCGGTCTACAGGTCGTACACTTGGCGGCCTTCTGATCCAGATGCAAAATATCAGCTTGCGAAGTTCGGGCATGCGCAGAAAGCAAAATTTCGACATAGTTTTTGGGTTTAAAAGTGACACAGCAGTCTTGACTTTTACTTTTCGCTTTCTCTCCTCCCTTCTTTTTTCGCTTTTCTTGCCTCATTTTTTTTTCCTCTTGCTGGGCATTTAGTAGGCTTCAATTTGGTGGGAAGAGTTTTTAGGAAAGCTTTTAGGATCTTAGGATTAGGTGAAAGGAAAGGTAGGTGGGTAATGGAACAAGATTTTCGTGGTGATTTTCAGGTCAATGTCTCGTGGTTTTTTGCTTCTTTCTCCGGTGTCCTTGACTGAATTGTGCTCATTCTGGTATGGTTTGAAAGATCTCTTCACTCTACACAAGTTAGCGAAGAAAGTTGTCCTTGACCGTTAAAACTGATGACGTCACAAAGGGTAGAAAGGACCTGGATCCGCACGGGCGGTTACGGGCGGTTCAGGGGCGAATGGGTTAAATCAATAAATCCCTTGTCCCCACTGCCAAGGGGCCTGGGTAAAATATAGTTATTGTATTTTGGATCCAGGCCCCTCGGCAGTGGGGACAGGGGATTTATCAGGCTCATGCCAAAAGATATTAACTTCAAAGACAGGTAAAAAAAACCAGGGCCCAAAAAATTTTCAGTTTCAGCTTTTGAGACAAGTTCCCCACCCTTTAAGTGCCAGGCAATTCAAGTACCTTCAAGCTCAATTGACTAAAGAGCAAAGGAACTGACAAGTCATACTCACATAAAAATGCAATATAATTAACCACTTCAGGGAAACAAGCAACTTTCTTAAGGCAGTATATGGATGATTAGCAATAACTTGTTCCTTTTTTGTTACGACCTGCAACAACGAAAACATGACTAAAATTATTTTTTTCTGTCCTGTTTCCATTGTTGCAAATATATCTGGTGACAGTGCCCCTTGCTAAGGTTCAGGTTGTTGCAAAAAAAACATTTTACTCTATTGATTTTTTTTAAAAATATTTTATTTCTTCCTCTTCTTTCCCTTAAAGGGAAAGCCTATATTTTCAAGTTACCTCAGGCTTCAAAATGTTAGTTTAATACGGTAAAATTTCTTTTTGCCAACTTGTTATCTTCACACTACAGACGCCATGTCTGAGAGAGATATACAGCTCTCTGGTTTGTTTCATTTCTGAACTTTTCAAGCAAAAAGAGAAAACAATGCATTAACATTAAGAAAGGCCAACCTTTATTCCACTGCCATCTCGTCCATCACGGCCATCTTTTCCTGTGTTCAAAACAATTAACAAAATGTAGTATTCAGATTACAGGGCTGATGCTCTAGCAGCACCCAGTGGCACCTGGCACCTTACTTAATGATCTTGGATGACTAGGACATCTTAGCTTTTTCAAAAAAATCCTACACTTAGTACCCTGGATTTCACAGGTAGAGAGCTCTGGGCTCCCTTCAATTTTTCTTAGAGCGCAGCCTTGGATTATTTTAAAAAGCTAGGGTAGAACACAGACAACCAGCTACGAGGGAAGGGGAAAGAAATGTTGCAAAAATATATGTTACCACAGTAAATGACAAGAATGAGCACCATGGCTAAGATTTATTTTGAGAATGAAAGGAACATAAAAATAATTACATCACCATTCACTCCATCGCGTCCATCTTTTCCTGCAAACCAAAAGCAACATTTCATTATACCAGTGGCCATGGTGGCTAATTATTTCTTAATCTATAATGCTGCATTAATGTCAACGGTGACAAGAACAGTGAACCCCATAAAGTGAAGGTTCATTGGGCTGCCGACTGCATGATGCAGTGGTTTATTATTTTGTGAAGTATACACCTGTAGATTATAAAATTTACACTTTTTGCCAGCTTGAGCGTATAGCTACTGCTAACCTGGAGAATGGGATAGAGCTAGAAACGATTGGCATTATTTTCAACTGGGACATTTCCACATCTCATTCCTATCCCTCTGCCACCGAAAATATAGCATGACAATACTAACATGACTTAATATTATACATTGTACCAGAAACCCATGGGGTTCTGATTGTACTCACTATCTGTCTTCTCATTGGCTAAGAGCTTAGAGCTAATTTTGGAAATCAGCGCGAGCTACAGAATATAGTTATCTGCTGGCAGATAACTGACTAAATGCATGATTTCCAATAACAATATCAATTCAGGTTCCTTGAGACAGTGTGTTTGACGTTATTTTCTTCAAAACAATGTATAATTTAACCAAAAAATTATACCAATGGATCATACTTCTAAACCATTTGCAACATACACTATATTGACAGTGTTATTATTGTACGCTTATTATATTAATATAATATAAGTAACAATGGAAGATCACAGCATTTCATTTATTTAACTCACCATGTTGTCCATCTTTTCCATCTTTGCCTAATTATTTAAAACATACAGCTGTAATTAATAAAGGCACAACTGAACTGAATGATCCACACTTAATCTGAACACAGCAAAATAATTTTAGGCCAAGCAAAAAAACAAATGTTTTTTATAGTCCCCGCCGGCTTCACTTTGGGGCCACCTCTCTGTTTCTCTTTTTGTAATATTTGTGATTGGAAAAATTGGAACAAACAAAATCGAAAAGGCGTGAATTTCAACATTAACAGGCATTAATTACTGTTAATAAAACAAAGCATTATTTATCAAATACAGTATTAAGTTGTATATTGATGTTTTTAATGCACAGCATAACCTATTGAGACAATGATGTATATCTTGGTGTTTGACATAAACCAAATTAACTTGTGTTTAACAGTGATTTTGTTACCTCTGCGTCCTGCGTCCCTGGCGCAAAAAAATCCCCAACTTTAGACATAAAATAATTTGTGGCATGCGTCCCGCAGGATGCAAAGATCAATCGATTGAATGAACATGTGTTTTTGTCAAACATCCCATTTGTGTAATTTCTTTGGCAGTTATTATGGCTGTTTTGTTTAGCGATGCATATTTCTTTTAGCCTTTGTTACATTGTGCTTTAAAATAGAAGGACTAAATTTAGTTAAATTTCAGTTTACTGTAATACAGAGTTTTGGAGTCTAGCTGTCTTCAGATTAGCTGTTTGGTTACATAAAGGCCCAAGCATTTTCAATTTGGGACTCTTTTTTTTTTTTAACTGGGACTCATTGGTTCTGGACTGTGACTCATGATTTTTCACAAGATGAGTGCCAGGATGCACCATAACTATTTTGTAACAAAATCACCAGTTTAATCAATATCTGTCCGGTAGAAGAGAGTAATAGTTTGTCAAGAAAGCATTCCATTGGCAATAATTTAATAAAAAAAAAGCAGGAAATAATAAAAAAAGTCAGAAATAACATGCTTTGCCTTTAATGGCTCAACTTAAAGTTAATGCTTTACCTCCTATTTTATATACTTCAGTCAAATTATTTTTTGTTTCCCTTAAAACTATTTTGGGATTAACTGGTTTGTACATCTGTAGTTTATCATTTTAATTTAAATTAATTTTTAAACTTACCATCCTTACAGCAACAAACTTGTGATACAGCTTCACAGCTTTTAAACTTTTTTGTAGGTCCATTAACCCATTCGCCCCTGAACCGCCCGTAACCGCCCGTGCGGATCCAGGTCCTTTCTACCCTTTGTGACGTCATCAGTTTTAACGGTCAAGGACAACTTTCTTCGGTAACTTGTGCAGAGTGAAGAGATCTTTCAAACCATACCAGAATGACCACAATTCAGTCAAGGACACCGGAGAAAGAAGCAAAAAACCACGTGACAAGGACCTGAAAATCTCCATGAAAATCTTGTTCCATTACCCACCTACCTTTCCTTTCACCTAATCCTAAGATCCTAAAAGCTTTCCTAAAAACTCTTCCCACCAAAATGAAGCCTACTAAATGCCCAGCAAGAGAAAAAAAAAATGAGGCAAGAAAAGCGAAAAAAGAAGGGAGGAGAGAAAGCGAAAAGTAAAAGTCAAGACTGCTGTGTCACTTTTAAACCCAAAAACTATGTCGAAATTTTGCTTTCTGCGCATGCCCGAACTTCGCAAGCTGATATTTTGCATCTGGATCAGAAGGCCGCCAAGTGTACGACCTGTAGACCGGTTTGTGGTAAGTTTTAGCTCTTTATAGCACGACAGTGACCAGAAAACCACTCGACTAGCTTCAAAACGCGTTTTTCGGCAAAATCTCCAGGAGCGAATGGGTTAACCTGTATGAAAAATAACAATTACCGAAAATATTATTTTGAACTCATGAGCTCCGTTTCAGTGGAACCATATGAATCTCTAAATACCCCAGACAACAAAAGTGAAAGTTGCATGGAAAAACAAAAACAAATACAGCCTAAGCAAGGTTGAGAAATAAGTTTTTCCTAAGCTTGATTAAGAGTGAATTGGAGAAAAGCCATTAAACTGTAAGCAGAGCTGCAAGATTATTTAAACTAGTAATAGTTGACACTACAGCTGCCCCCGCTCTGTATATAGTACACTGTATTCTTGCTCCTTGTGTAGCTCTTTGAAATATACCGATTCATAACATTTGAAGATGTTCACACATATTCCGTACAATAGGTGAGAAAAATACAGGAAATAAACGCAAGGGTCCCTGCACAGTTTCGGTTTGATTTACACAGCTTTGATCAAAACATAATCATTCTCATGTGATCAGTTTCAAGAATAGTTTATTCTAAACCATAAGAATATTTCTAATGTTTCTAAAATCCAAAAACTTTCATAAGAACTACTCCACAGAATGTCACTGATAACACGTAACGCAAAAGAGTATCGAAGTGTGACTGCACAATTAATGTCACAAAATCTACCTATTGTAAGCTGCATGAAAGGACGCAGAAGGTTTGTACTGGAAGTACAGCACCATGCAGAGTTATAAGCTTTGTGGGCACTTAATCCCATTTAATATTTCACACTCCTCGAAAGTGCTAAAATTTCTGTGTCATGGCGAGAATTTTCAACGTATTAAATGTAAGAATACCTTGCACAAGATAATCTTCATTTTGCGCCAGAATAATTTTTGTTTGCATGCTTTTAAAGTACCTAAAATCACTTGGTTCCCCACAACGCCTGCATTGTTACTGGAGTACATTGCCTTGGCGTGGATCTAGCATTTCACCTCCTCGTCACTTCTTTTTCTCGGGAATTATTTGGACGTAGTGAGAATTTTATGGATCAGAATGTGTGGTGGATGTTCACACTCGGCTACAGCTAATACATGCGGCCTAATATCAAGGAAGGATGCTGGATTTTTCTCATTGTTAGCGAAAGGAAGGTAAAAAAACCTATTGTTCTGAGGTAAGAATTGAAATTTTTAATTAGTTTCTCGGCAAAAACAACCGTTCCACAGTAAAGAAATTTATATCGCTGCGACTTTATGATAATGACTCCATAAATTCAATTTGCTTTTTCACAGATCCCATAACATTCGATAAAGTTTTCTTCGCTTTGTTAAGTGTGACATTTTTTTAAGGAAGGTGCCCTGTTCAATGGTTCATTTGCTTGGCCTCGACGATTCTCATGAATTTTGACTTACCAGACATAACAAGTGCTCTAGAGCTGAATAACACATTAAGTTCCTATGTTAAATCAGAGATCAGAGATAAAGATGCACGTTCTATAACTAGTATGACTTCTATTTTTAGATACCAGCCATTGCACGTGCAGTTTGTGCAAAGAACAAAAGATAATGTGACAATATCATGGTATTTTACATCGTGGGGCCCCTCACTGTATGTGGATGCCAATCCAGACTGGTCTAGAGGTGTAATACACAAACAAAGGGTTCCTTTGTTTCGGTGGTTGGTACCCTTGAAAAGAAAGATTCGTTGCAAAGATACTTTTACCCTTGAAAATAGTCCCCTTTTAGGGCTTTATTGGGGCACCCATATTTTTAACGTCAAATCGATCAGTTTTTGATAGATGACAGAAAGAATTTTTCAAAATACAAGCAACACAACAGGAAAGTAGTTAATATATTTGCTCACCTTAACTTTGACGTTCAGCTTCTCGAGTTCGAGGATTATTTCAGGATTTGAATAAATTTTAGGTCAACAAACGCTAACCTCAACACGCAATAAATTATTTCGATCAAGGCACAGTAAATATTAAACAGGCGTTACTTTTCCATTGACAGACAGGAGACTGTTATAAAGAGGATGCAGCAATAGATCGTTTTCACGTGACGTCATACCATTTCCGGTCGCCATATTGGTGTACCACTTTCGATTGCGTAATTTTTGCCACAACTATCATTCCTGCCAGTTAAATGGATTCAAAAGAGAAAGAAACAAAGTGCCAGAAAAATAGCGGGGTTGACTATTTATTTCCGATATCCGAATACGCAAAGCAGCTGGATTTGCCAGTCAGAGATCAATATTTACAGGATATTCTGAAAGAACAATGTCCAAGAGGCCTACTTGCCAAAAATGAGCATTTCGGGGCAAGTTGTCTCCGAGATCGTAGCCCAGTTATACTCAGAAAACGCCATACAAACCCTCCTAATTTATTTTTGGGTGGACCCAAAAAAAATTTAGAAGGGTTTGTATGGAGTTTTGCAAGCATAACTGGGCTACGATCTCAGAGACAATTTGCCCCCAAATGCTCATTTTTGGCAATTTGTCCATTCTTGGACATTGTTCTTTCAGAATATCCTGACAAATCCCATAATTTCGGAAATTTCATTTTTATGACGTCACACTTTAGTACTCTATTCGCGCCGATTCTGACGCCGATTCGCGCCTTCTTCTTTTTCACGTGTCTACTCGCGCGTCTTAATCGCGCATTACTCGCGCGTATTCTTGGGTTTCCGTGCACGGAGTCAATTCAATCGCAACTGTTTTGCTTTCTTCCTTTTACCTTCATGAACAAAAAAATTACGAATGAGCACGACTTTTTCAAAGAAAATAGCTGGATTCTGTCGCTTCAATTGAGCCCCTGGGCTAGAATTAATCAGTGGCTAAATTTGAGATACCAACATTGAAAAAGTGTGAAAACAGCGCTGCCGAACCTGAGCAACGAAGACCACTTTTCAACAGTTCCGGATCCCTTACCAGTACATCAGGGACGAGTTGAACGTTTTTAAACGCTTACTTTTTCGCTTCGCTGTGACGTTACCTGATTTGAAGAATTGTTCTGCGAAGTTCCAAAAGAAACGGCCAAGAAAATGGCCAAAACCATCAAGAAGAACAAACGAAACATTTTTGGTGTTACATGTAACTTGACGAAGGTGAACTGACGGAATTCATTAATTTGCTCAATGTATGAATGTAAGCTTGGAGTTCCGGTATAAAGTTCTCTCATGAATACAGAACGTGAAAATTTACGAATTGGAAGGCCCTTTGTAATAATGTTTGCCTTTTTGTCAGATAAGTCATAAGCTGATCTTGGCATTGATGACTGCACAAAGTCAACTGTCCAGATTAGACTTCCTGTCTGGAGAAAATACTCACCCTCCCCGCCCCCACATAGCATGGAATCATCACACTGACGGAGAAAACAACCTTAAGATAAACGCATTTCGGAAAACACCTCAAGAAACTAAAACCTTGATTAAAGATAGACGGTCATTGAGCTGAAATAAAAACCTTAACGTTTAGATAAATTGGCTGAAGAAAACCGTTGCTAAAATCGAATCCTGTCAGAACAACAGACAATAAACTGCAGGAAGTATTTAACCAATATACACCAATATGAAGACGAGCTTCATTGTCTTTTACATGAGACAAGCAGCCAAAATTAAGATTTACACAGTCAGTTTTCCACAGTATAATTACAATCTAACCGTTACAAAGAAAAGATAGATAATCTGTGAGGGATGTTCTACAGCAAAACGCTAAAGCTTATAATTGTTTGGCCTATCAGTACTGTATTTCCTGCTGTTTGATCAAGGATAAGAACACTGTCATTACGTCGTTGTGATTGGTTCTTTTCATTGTCGACGTGCGGAGCCTCCGCTGGGAACCGTTCTATTTATAAATGTACTCGAAAAAGGGTTGTCTCCAAGGGCTTGTATGGGGGATAAAGGCTTCTGGTCACGGACAGGCTCCTTCTCTTGGACCCATGACTTTGGTGTATTTGGTTACCGTATTTATTCGATTAACCGCCCTGGGCGCTTACTAAAGTTTTGGACCTTGAGAGTGGGAGCTTATTCGAGGTGGGCGCTTATTAAATTTTCACCATTTTCAGCAAGTGTAGTATGTTAATTTTGCAACAATACAATAAATAGTAATAAAAAAACGCGAAGATGTAACAAAGCAAGGTTTCTGTAAAATACTCTAAAAAAAACTCCGTCTTCGGGCAAATCTCTTATTGGTACTTATTTAAGATTTTTTGGGTGGGAAGAACCATTTGAGGGGGGGGGGAGGTGGGGTGGGGGTGGGCGCTTATTCGAGGCTGGGCGCTTGTATTATTTTTCTGCCTTCAGGATGGGCGCTTATTCGAGGTGGGCGCTAATTCGAGGTTGGGCGCTTGTTCGAATAAATACGGTATTTGCAATCCAATTAGGCTTTAATAGATTGTGCTCGAAAACTGTGCTTCTACCTCAAATCTGGTAAAAGTACCTCTAGAATTACGCCACAAACGTTAGTAAGCCGCAAACACATTTACCCTGTTTAGATCTAGTCATCTTTAAGAGTGCATAATTCATTCTCTGAAAACTACAAAAATTCAAAAAGGAAACAGCACAAGGACGCCATCTTGGCCTGATAACAGAGGTAGTCAGTTATGCGCATGCGTTGAATCCCGTTGAAAGGTCATCGGTTACTCGCGCGGGAAGTCACTGTCCTATGAATGCGACAATAAGCAGAAAAACAAATTGATTTTTTTACTTAAATTTGCCCGTAATACTTATCTCGGGTCAAAAAAATTTGGTTGCATGATCAATAAATGACAATTTTGTGCTGCAAAACCAGCCAAAAGTGGAAATTATGTTAGCAGTGCTTTTTGCGGGAAATAAATGAAAATTATGCTCGTAATTACGAATTATGTCAAAAATTATGCTAGCGCAATGTATCAAATCCTAAATACAATTTTGGAGAGAGCAGTTTCTCATTAGATGATAGATGACGTGTCATTAATTAGAATAAGTTAAACTTGCGCGACAATGTGCTGACAGCACTTCATTGGTTGTATATAACCTGTGATCAGGCGGTCCTTCTTCCCTTTTTCTTAGGAGGCGAGGGGGCTTTCGCGCTTTCCATAAAGGAAAAAAAGGGACTGATCACAGGTTACATTGTTTATGAACCAATCCAATTTTCCGATGCTGGGGTTGTGCATGGAGAAAAGACCGCTTCCACAGTCTTTTCAACCTTTGACATGGGTCATTTAGGTAAAATCCGTTGCCACCACTAGAAAGAGCGCCTTCATACATACATACATACATACATACATACATACATCAACCTGGAGATTTGAAAACCGGGTTGCCTGAAATCTGAAGTCAAGTCCAGCACATTGCAGACCTGTTGCCCCCGCTGAGCCAGCTAATTTTTTTTGTGGGGGGCATCGGTCAAGGTGGGTGTCATCTTGTTGCTCAGATACAGGGCTATCAGCTGGTATGTATTTGGGATAGCCTGGTTAAATTCCAGGGGGGTGGGGATGTTTTAAGGAGCCTGGTTTGTGCAAGACTGTGGATTGCTGAAATTTCCACCGGGGCTTATCCCTGTTTTTCAAAGCTCAGTGTCTCCTTTAAATTGAGGAGGGCTTGTGTTTAGATGGGTGTAATCCTGTTGCACGGACATAGTGCTTTCAGCTGGTATGCATATAGGTTAGCCTGATTAAATTCCAGGGGGTGGGGTTGTTTTTAAAGTTTAAAGTGTTACCGCACGAGGATGCAGTATTTTTTGTTCAGTTTGCATGCAAGCAATGGAACACTCTGTTGCTAATGTTCCAAGTCAGCAATCTGCTAAATTGGCGGTAGTAGGACCTGGTTTCTTTGAGCAGTGTCGTTTTGTATTGTATTTGGGAGACCAGTGGTGATGAAAAATGGGGCGAATTGGAGAAATAGAAGAAGAAGAACTGTTTTTAAGAAATTGGGCAGCGGCTTTCCTTTTAAAACTTGAGATATTGTTAATCGTCCGAATGTCTTCTGGGAGAAGGTTGTATTATTTTGCCCCACGAAAGGCAAAAGATAGAGTTGACCGGCCAGTTGGTCATTTATAAGGTAGGTTTAACTGAGACTTATATCTAGTGCTACGTCCTAACACACTAAATCTATCATGAAATAGATTGCAAAGAGAAGGTGGCGCCTGATTTATTCTACACTTTTGAACCATAGTAACAGTATTTAATAGAAGTTTTTGACGGACGGTTAGCCAACCAAGGGATTTGCGCGTAGTAGAGACATGATTAATTTTTTTGAGACCTAGTATTATTCCGAAAGCAAAGTTCTGGATTAGTTGAAGTCAATAAATGTTTTTACAGAGGTATTACACCATTGGCTAGAACAATAAAAAAGCCCGCTAAAAGTAAGAGCATTTCAATGCTCGATTAAAATTGATTATTAAAATAAGAGCTTTGTTGTCAATAAAGTGTTTAATTCTATTTATGTGACGTAAACTTGCCAAGTTTGAAAATGATACGTGTTAAGCGAAGGAAGGTATAGTTTCACAAAGATGGGAAAATTTGCAAACATTTGTATGGTGGGAGGGGAAGCAAGTTTGTGTCCCCCAAAATACAAACGTCTGTAAAATGTCGCTACTTTGAGGAGCTGTATCTTTGTTAGTTTTCAAAACATCACTTTCAAACTTGGCTATTTTCCCTCGCTCATCTATGTCAAAAGTTGAGAAAAAACGGTGGAAAGGTCTATTTGAATGCGTTGGTTACCGAAGTGATTACTGTCCCAACATCTAGTTTAGATCTTTTCGTCTTCTTCATCGCACGTGGCGCCTCGCTCGCCCGCAGGAAACATACTTGCCTGCGCGAAAACCCTGAGGGACTGCCACCAATCTAGCTTGGAGTGAGCAGCGCAGGGACTGATACTACTGCGGGTCAGACTTCTTGTTCGACTCTAAAAAAGGAGTAATAACAACACATATAGAAGAGTGCGCGGCGAGGTGAAGTCGTGATGGGGAATTCAGACTTCCAAAACAAATTTCAACAAAAGTTCTTGTCAAATGACTCACTCATGCGTGCTACATGGCGTGTTGGGTTAGTTGAGTTAAAATAGTAACTAAACTTCGCAAAAATCAAGAAAACAACATCAAGTAATATTATTCAATCTTCACTGAGGAATTCTGGTTAGTTATTCAGTCATTTGTAGCTCTCGAATTTATTATGTTTTGGCAAACTGGCCCCAGTTGTGCAAAAGCTGGATAACGCTGGTATATAAGTAGGTGCACACTAAAACAATGAACTATGATTTTTCCGGCTCTGATTGATCACTCAAACTAGCCTGCGAGCAAGCTCTCCATTTGGCGGAGTCGCGAGTAGTCACGCGAGAGCAGCACGCGAAAGGCGACCCGGGAGGGAGGGAGGGGGAGAGAAAAGGAAAACGCCTTAAAAGATTTTTTGTTGTGTTTGTCGACAAGAAAACATGACGGCCTTAAGGTCATTTGCGCGCCAAACTTGTAATCGTTTTTTTTTTAAATAATAGACAATTTTATTAAAAAACTATTAAAATCCTATTTACAATTAATTCGCTTAAAAAAAAGGAAAAACTATTCATGCAAAAACACTATTTACAATTTCTGTCGATTTAAAAAGCACTTAATTTAGCTTAAAAATAAGTTAATTAAAACTAAGAAAAATTTTTTCGAATTAAAAAACATTTCATTTAAAAAAAAAAAAAACTGTCAACCTCTAAAATTCAAAAGTTTCTTTCAACTGCTAAAAAACAAAAAAAATAGTAATAATAATAATGAAATAAAAAGATATATATGAAGTAAGGAAACACATCAATAGTCCGATTTAATGGCTCCTTCAGCAACTTCGACGTCGATATCAACATTCTTAATGTCACATGGCACTCTTCTGGTCCTAGAGCCTCGAAGACAAACCAACGCAGATCTCAAGAGTGCGAATGAGGTTCTGGTTCTGATCCATGAGATGGTTTTGGCATACTGCTCCCCTTTTTTGATGGCAATCAGCTGTGCTAAACGGCTATGATACTTCAAGCACTCCTTTCCCATTCCGCCAGTTGTGGTGAAGACCAAGGGTGTAAATGTTCCATGCTCGATGTCCAGGACTCTCTCTGAGTAGAG